CCCCCCCCCCCCCCCCACTCCTCACTGAAACTTAATTGATAAATATTGGTCATGGTGTTAGACTACATTCACCATTAAATACAAATCGGACAGTAGTATGGCATAGCAGTTGATTGTCGGGTGGGTGTAAAAAGACTTTACAAATGCATCTTATTTGACGCACATATTTACACTCGAACCAAACCTTTTTCTCGTCACAGTCTTGGATGTTTGTTTTTTTTCCTTTTTGGTTATTTTTGTCCATGATTGGACAGAAAAAAAAACGAACTACAAATACTGCAAGATTTTTTTGACTTCATTAAAAAATAAAATCGTTTTTGTAGGATGGAAACTTTTTGAGGTCAAACCCGCATCCCCCACCCCCAAAATAAAGCAAATAAGTTTTTTATCCGACATCGATATTTTGACTTCGTCCCTTAGGCATTTCAGTTTTGCAATATTGTAATATATCAAATATTCTTTTAAGACAGACCTATATAGCAAGCAACATTGACCAATCACAAACAAGCTCACACATTGGCTTTCAGATTAACACCATCCTGTTTCTGTAAAGCTAAATAACTTTCCTTTGGTAATACAAAAAACTTTTATATTCATTTTACGTTCTGTCTTAGAGAATGTATCCTTGCCTTTTTGAAATTGACATATGCCTAATTTCAGTCTATGATATTTATGCATGTTCAGGGCCTATTGAACACAATATGTATATGTTCAATCACATGACAGTATATGACCAAATATGGTATATAGTGATTATTATTGTTAGTGGGTGGTATATACAAAATGTGCTGTGTTCACAGGTATTGGTTATGGTTCCTTTGTGGCGGTGGATTTTGCGTTAGTGTTGGATGTACTCCCAGCGGAAAAAGACAAAGCCAAAGATATTGCCATATGGTCTGTGGTATGTAAACATATTACTGTCATCCTGCCCAAAACACTTTTATTGTTGTATTGTTGGCAAAATTTAGTTGAAAACTCATTTCAATTTGGAGTGTCTTGGCTAAAAAAATCAAATCTAGAAAATTACATCATTCTTCATTTACACTGGTAGAACCTGCCATATTTTGGTGTTCATTGACTTAAAGTTATTCTTCACTACAATAAATCTTGTAATGAATTGCTGTTTGAATTTTGTTTTTGGTGAGCGAAGGGGCTAAATAAGTTATTGATTTCCCTGACAAGGTTGCATGCGTTGCGCCCTCAGTGGCAATTTTTTGTCGGTAGTGACCGCCATTAGCGAGTAACCATTCACGGTAAAGTTTATTTGTTTGTAGACATAATGTGTGATGAGGTGCGGGTAAATTTCTGCTCAATGTTTATCATCTTATTGAAAACAGTCTTATTAAAAACATATCAATAACTAACAACTAGTTTTTAATATGTCATATGAAAATTTTGAAGTAAAAAAAAAAGTTGATGATGACTCACTTTTTGTTTTGCAGGCATTTGTACTACCTCAGTTGATAGCGACTCCCACTGGAGGAATTCTACTTGATGTGTTTGAATATGTTAATTGTGAAATCGGACTCGGCTATATCATTCTTTTTTCTGTAACTTCTGTCTATTTTATGCTAAGTGCTCTCTTTGTATCCCGTATTAAGGGAGTAGAGTAAGCTGCAGTGTAATTATACAAGTTACCCCACCCCTTTTAAATGGTTTGGTCCATCCATACTACATTATTTTTTGCTGGCCTGCATTGCCAGACTTTGAAATAAGGAACAAACTTAACATGCAAGTGGGCATATTACTTAGACTAGTCCATCCCCGCCTGTGAATGGTTTGGTCCATCTATATAAGTTTACTGAGTTATGTTATCAGACTTTGAGCAGAAATAATATACAGTACATGGTCACATTACTTAAACCCAGTTCATCCCTCACTTTGAATGGTTTGCTCCATCTGGGTCAATGTGCTACTTAAATTAGGAGTAGAATACATAAGGTACATTTACCAATCTACCTCTACAATGTAAATGGTTTAATCCATCCAAATTATTTGTTAAAATGAGCCATGTGTTCAGCTAGTTTTGATTCTCTGTTCCCTTCATACTTGATATACCAGAACACCCCTTCTTGTAAATAATGTAAAAAAAAATATTTTAGCTTGAATTAATTTTCGCTGAATAGACTTTTTGGGTATTATGTATGGATTTCAATGATTCTTGATTAGTTGAATGTAAAATATAGGAAAAATAGTATATTCAATGAATTTTATTTTCACTGAATCATTCCTTCAGCGAAAATTAATTCCAAGCAAAAATAAAGTATTCCACAGTACAAATGTAGTTTATATCCAATATTCTCATCATTCTGTTGGGGTGTTGGCTACATACATAATCTGTAAATCAAATGTTGACCCAGCACATATCATTCTACCCCGTTTTATGTGAATGGTTCAGTCCAATTTGATTTGTCTCCATTTCAGTAACTGGTTCTAGTCTACGTCTACAAAATTATAGGGGTGTTTCAATGTGTTGGATGAAATAGGATCATTTTCAAAATAACTTCTGACAAGGGTATTATTCTAGGAGCCCTTGAAAAAAAATAAGAAAACGGGTATATTTCTTGAAAACAATGCAAACTAAATGTATCATTCAACTAGAAACCACTTTCTTGTGTAGTATTAGGTGTTATTTTGGTGAACCATATCAAATCCAGGTGTTATTTTGGCAAATTTAATTTTGTGATTCAGGGAAAATCACAAAAATTTGTAGGGGTGAGAATTTAATGGGTTTCTTAAGGAAACTTGACTTTCGTGACAAATGCAGAGTGAAGTCAAGATTGTGCCTGATTGGCTACCTAATCCTAACACCTAATATTCAGACCAATCAGAGAGCAGCTTGTCTGTTGACAAGTTTTTGTTTTCAAGATATCAAACGCTGCCTTGTATATTTATCATATACAAAAGATACCTTGTACAGTCAAAGCTGTCCATAGTGACAACCTGTCGATAGTGACCTGCTGTCCATAGCAACCACCCTTGTGCTATCCCAGTGAAATTTACAAAATGTACATGTAAAGTGACCTGTATATAATGACCACCTGTCCATAGTGACCACCTTTGTGCAATCCCAATGCAAATTACATGTAAAGTGACCTGTATATAATGACCACCTGTCCATAGTGACCACCTTTGTGCAATCCCAATGCAAATTACATGTAAAGTGACCTGTATATAATGACCATCTGTCTAATGTGATCACCAACCATGTTTTTGGTACCTGTTTGATCAACTGAGAGGTTGCTGTAGTTTTATTCATAAATTAATAATCAGCCTCGATATAAAGAACACCTGTTTATAAACAACAATCCCTTGGCTGGTTGCTACAAATAGATTTGATTGTATAATTAAAATGTAATTCTTTACAGTATGTCCAACTTTGTTTTAAAAGTGATTTTCTTGTCTTATTTGTACAGGTTTGTTGTTGTATTTGTTACTTACTTGAAATAGTATTGTTTTAATTGCTTAAGTTGTTGCTTTTAATATTCTAAAATAAGAATGTTGTTTATTGTTTCTGCTATGTCATTTAAACTGTAAATTTCATAATCATGACTCGGTCATCTTTTCATTTCTAATGTTTTACAAACATTTATTTCTCATTGGCTAAACTACTTCATCAAATGACTGTAGATGGCCAATCAGAAAAGGGAATATAAATCACATGATTTGTGGTAGCCAATCAGAAAATGCATAATGTGCACCTGATTTTGTGATTATATTTTTTAATGTGATTTTATTATTTTACTTTTGTCCAGTCTTTGTGTAGGAAAATAATTTGTCTAGTAATATGCAAATAATTTAAATAACATCTTTTCGTTATAAAACACCAACATTTTTTTTCAACTTCAAAATGATATGTCCATAAAAAATCCAATATTTCTATCAATATCTCAAAAACAAACCATCATATTTCATTGAACTTTGAAGTAATTCTCGTATCGTATTGCAGCAGTTATTGGTTAAAAGTCATTTACCCTATTTTGCACACATCTCACAAGACACTACTACATGGTACTATTACATAGTGATTTAAAAACACAAAACATTTTAATGGAAATGAATTTGCATAATTGTACCCCAAGGAAGATATTATTTTAAGGAAATATGTACTATTGATAGTACCATTAACCTTTTCACCATCAGTTCCCTCTATTCATCGCAAATTTATAAAATAGTCCCAAATAGTCTGCACTTTTCGTCAGAAGATTGGGACAAATTTTGTCTGTTGGTTTCAAAATTAGGATTTATTTCCAGAAATAGAAAAGTGCATACAAATTTGGACGAGAAAGTCTGGTGCTGAAAATGTTAAGAATAATTTTCAATAAATTATTCAGCTACATTGTGTATTTCCACATCCCAGAAATTTGAAATTGATATTGGATAGCCAATAAGAAGACGAATATCACTTTGTTTGTGGTAGCCAATGAGGAAAATAATATAAATCACCTGACTTTTAGTAGCCAATCGTAAAATGGGTGAGTTTATTATTTGAAAGGTGTTGGTCACCTATGATTGGGAAAAGTTAAATAAAATACTATATCAATACATTTATAATTACAAATTGTTCTACTTAACATTTAAATGCTGGTTTGATTTGTTTATTTCGAAACTGGTTCAGATTTAATTCACATTTATGAATACCAGCTAGAAATTTATGAAATACTGAATTTTCTCAGTTGGGTTGTCTTGTTAAAGCACAAAATGAATTTACAGTCATACGAGATAGACAGGTGTATCAGTGTGTTTTTAATTGTTCAGTATTAGCCATACTGGTTTAACTTTGACAAAATAAAATAGCTAAGTGTTTTCAATACATTTTCAGAAATTTAGATTCAGGTTTTTTTAATTGTCCATTAGGAACAAAATTATGGATCAATACATAAATGTGGGCAAATTATTATACAGTAATTTTAGTGGGAAAACAATTACTGTAAAAGGGTTAATTATTCACTGGGTTTTAATTTTGCTTATTTCGCTGACTGGAAAATGCGCTAAATTAAAACCCAGTGAATATGTAAAATTTAGCATAGAACACATTATCTAAATGATAAAACTGTGAATTTAAAACCCACTGAATATGTCTGAAATGGTAAATCTATGAAATTTAAACCCAGTGAAAATTAGTCATTTTACAGTATGGTCCTTGAGCGGTTAAACAAAAATCACACTCAGAGAAATCTCTGAAACAAAATTATGTTTCTTTAACTGGCATTAACCTTTTCACCACCAGTTCCATCTTTTCATCACAAATGCACAAAATAGTTCTGTTTATAGTCTGCACTTTCCTTCAGAAGATTGGGAAAACAGCCACATTTTTTGAGTAAAAACTGAAAATTGACTCAAATTTTGGCTCCAAAATTAGGGTTCATTTCCAGAAATATAGAAGAATTATAAAAAGTATAAGAAGTGCAGAAAAATTTTTTGCCGAGAAAGTCTGGTGATAAAAAGTTTAAAACTGTAACTTAAGGGCAAATTATAACAATTACAATTGTTCATGTTCATTAATCCTCCATATAGTCATAGAGGATTAGAAGTGAATTTCAGTAAGTTATGAAATATAGCTGTATAAAAAATATATATATTTTTTTTTTCCATAGTTTTGGTATTGTATATATGTGAAGTCGTGCAATCAACTTTAAAGATCCACTGTGTTGTCCCTGGGACATCGCGTGGCGTTTCACTAACTGCTATTGTTATTTTAGACATCAACTTATTATTACAATACAGAGATTGTCACTTTAGCTTAATGTCTCGCTTATTGAGAAAAAAGTTTAAGATTTGTGTATAGTAGTTCCAAGACGTGCAGTGTATGATATATTCGTCAGTTGATACAAACATATACAGTTATTTTTGTGCATAGTTCGCGAAATTCTCACAATAACATATCAAAGTAATTTGTGTTTATAAAATAACTGCTGTATTTGGCATGTATTACAGCCACGTACTTGCGTTTTGGATAAAAGGGCATTTACAAATTTTAGCGTACATCATATGGGAACTATGTTTAACAGGACCCATCACATGAACCACTGAACTTAAAATAGATTGTCATGGCAACATTACATTAAAATGTATAGTTTGTACAATAAATGTACATAATATTGAAAAGAGTTTAGAAAGTTATTCACTCAAGTTTGTATATTAGTTTGATGTGAATCTAGTTATACAGTACTGTAATTATTCTTAGCTGAGAAAGCGTTGTAAATGTTGTATATTATTATATTCAATAAATATATTGCATGCTTAGATAAACAATGTTGTAATTGTTATCTGTGTGCTACGTTATTTGTGCAAAAAGAGGCACATCTCTACCCCTAGTAAAGGTAATTTAAATGAAAACATTTTTACAGATCTAGGTAAACAAGTGGCTAGATCGCTACTGCTGCTAGATGTGCTTCCTCCAAAGTCGGTTTAAAATAAAATGTAATGAACACTGTCCCAAAGTGACAAGATGGTAATGCACGCAACATACAACTCAAATATAATCATACTTTTCAAAATTAAAAGTCCTTGACATTGACATGTAAAATAATAAATTTATTGATGAAATAAGAAGTAAGAAACATTTACACTGCATTTAACACAAAAATAAACCACAAATTCTAATTCTAATATTGCCGCGTTAGTTATTGTGAACTCTGATACACGTGACATTCTGTCCAATTATGTCGGCAATGTAGGTTCATTAACTATGACGCGCACGGTCATTGTCTCGTGTACACAAATCATTGTCAAGTGATGACCAGAATCTGGATTATCAAAGAATTTAGCTTCCATTGTTTCATGACTGGCAACAATTGAATATGGTGTATTCACTCCAAACAAAAATGTTGCATAATATGAAACCTGCAAATGGTCAATAATTATATCACTGATTAATATACAATCATAATCCAATCTTGCAATGCTTATAAATTAAATGTGGTTTTAATACTATTACTATTTTAATACTATTACTATATACTATTATTACAGCAATTGACTCGACAAAACACTAAAAAATAAGTCTCAAAGAATCTAACTACATTTGATATGCAACATGAGAAGAAAAAAAAAGCTTGTACATCTAAGTATAATCTATCTTTGAAAAGAAAAACATACTTGAATCTTTATAATTCTCAGACTGCTCACTGGAACAACAAGGATTCAATTCTTTGCATTTATTTGTATGTTGGATATATCACAGTGATAGAGGGACTGTGGATATATCAATATAATCGCGGGTTGACCAATGTAATTACATTACACATTTTAGAATAATGTATATTTTCTAAAACCAACCAGAGCAAATTTTTGTTTTAAGGTAATCCTATTTTTTAAAATCATTGAGGTTAACATTAAACACAAATGGATACCAAGTTTCCTGAGATTGAGAGAGTCATGCAACAATTCTTTTGCCCTCAAATAATATATGCAATCCATTCTCTCCCGCCGTTGCATCCAGGGAAAGAACAGGGAGTACTATTTTGGGGGCAAAAGCAAGTCGAGTTACTCTCTTCCTATCAAGGAGTTCTCAGTGCCCAATTGTGTCTATTTGTGCAATTTCATAGGAGTTCAGTTTTTCATTAGATAATTGTCACAATGACTTCATGTAATTTATTCAACCTAAAGTATATTTTAATTTTAATGCTGTTGCAATTGACATAGAGGGCAATAGTCATAATATACATGGTCACAAAGTCATCATGTCATATATGTAATACTGTAAAAGAATGAACTCCTACTGACTACATGTGCATTAAGATGAACAATAGAGACATACCTAATTCATGTATCTACTTTAAATTAGAACAATTTGACATATTTGACAATCTATTCCAAGTTTACAAATAACAAGTACTCAAACATGAGCATAAAAAATGAACATAGAGTTTACTAGATTTATGAATTTGACGCTGTCGCCATTTGATCCGAATGTGATTACCTTTCGAAAACTGTATTTTGTTTAATGGAAATGTATCTCAAATACAAACACATAAATTAAATATTGTATACTGAATTTAATAAAAAAATGACTTTTCTCCATAAATACACTTCTGTCAGAGTGTATTTATTGATAACTATACGTAATTATTTGAGATATTGACAAACCAGTTGAAGACTAACTAAGATTGACTCAAACCAATTCAAAAACTATTACTAAACTACAAATTATGGAGTAACTGGAAAATATAGGTAAGCACAAAAAATGGCATATAATGACAACTTAGGTGATAAATATAAAAATTGCTGGTAACATGTACTGAATTTAATACATCACATATGTTTAAATATGTTTACTTTCATAAACATATTTTTATCAAACTAAAAATTTTAGATTTAAAATTTATCTAGTTTTATATTCAACTTGGATCAATGTGCCTCTGTGGGTTGGTTTATATCTGGTAAATGCTGCGACGACTGGTTGCTAGGCAACACAGTCATACCAGAAGCTTCATCAGATCTTGATATCATTGAAGCTTGTATCGAACCCAGCCCAGATTCACAGCTTTCGGGTATCACCCCTTTCACATCTCGCTCTGCAATAAATGCGTAAATGGTCGTATTATACACCCGACACAGTGAACAATAGAATTCAGCCATACAATGCCGTACAGACATGCTATAAGACACGTTAAAATAACTAACCCTATTTGGGAAATGTGTGTTATGTTTACATCACATTCAAACACTTTTTTGTTTACATCAGACACAGAAGTGCTGTAGCCCGTGATGATAAAGGAATCTTGTTACTGTATATAATAATAAAATTTTGCATAGCGCGAAATATTTTTCGTTGCCATTTCAGACAGTTATTTTAAATGATTTCTATAAGCAGGAAAAAAATTTATAATAAAGTTATCAAGAGTATACCGTAAAGTATGCACTCAGGCGACACAGGATCACATCCACCTTCACTGAGCGTTGATTAGTCAAATACTACCTACAATCATACTTTGTTGATTAGAATTAGTGAAGAACTGACCTTTTTCTTGTGTGATGGTTAGTTTAAAAGGAAATCCAGCTTCCTCTAGAACCTTCAGGGCATCTTTTCGGTTTAAAACATAAAGTGCCTGCTGCAACTGTTCAATAGTTCCACCGATTGCCTAATTACAACACAGATACATATTTTGAATTAGTTTACCCGTATAACCAAAACTATCATGTTTTCTTACAGAAACCACAAGTACCAGAGTAAAAATGATATGAATATGATGCCTCAGGACTCCCTAGCCCAGTTTAAAAAATCCACTGGACTCCCTAACCCAGTTGAAATTATCCCAGATGATTCCCCAGGCGAACTGAAATTATCATACTTCACAGCACCACTGACCACAGAAGTTGATGAATGATTTAAAAAAAAAAACCACTTACCTCAAAATTATCAAGAAGTATTTTTGTGGGGCTAGATGACAATTTAAAAGCATTTATCATGTTTCCAAGGCAAAGTTCCTCAGCGACTGATCTCCAATCACAGCAGTTGTCCCTTGGGACGTCCAATAGTTTTAATAGACTGTTACGTACAATAGGATCCAATTTAATCATGTCTCCTATAAAACAGAGTGACAAAATAAGGCTATGCAACTTTATAATTATGCTAAATGACAATCAATAAACTGAACTCGAGTTGTATGTTAGCTTTAAATACACAAGACAACTAATTTTTGCTGTTGTCATGAAACATCAAGTCACATGACTTTCATGAAACTTTTCTCCTTTAATGTTTTCAAATTATCAGACTGCAAATTGATAGGAGCAAACTTTTTATAAAGTTTTCCAAGCGAGTGATCTGACCAATATCATCACAGAATAACATGAAACTCATCGGTAGACATTGTGAAATTAAGGTGGTTATGAACCATGCGAAGAAGACAAAAACATAAAAGTTCAAAAGCAATCTAGTTGGAAATGATTGTGTGATTTTGATCAGTGAGATTTGTTATGACTTGTCACTATAGCTGCATGCCCTTATCACTTATCTACCTTTGATATGCTATGACAAACATCTACACTTTGCACAAAACTAAAATTAAGAGTGACAAGGTAAAACCGCATTAATTTTGTGCATTTTGTAACTTAGTGAAAATCTTGAAAATTTGTAGCACTCGGGTTCCACGACACAAACTGACAGTGATTCGTTAAATTTAAAAATTCCTAATTAAGCGATTTGAAGCAGTGAGTCATCACCTGCGCATGCGTCTGATGGCCATAGCGTGTCATTGTTTACAAACACACATCTACTCATAAGCCTTTGGTTTTTAGTATGCGTTGTTATCAACGCTTAAGACTCAATTCATGCGCGTACGCAGGTGACAACCCTAAACAGCACGGCAAGTCTGAATGCAATAGTTTGTTGTATCCTTGGTTAAGTTGTAATAACCTTATTATAAAAAATCTTGTGGAAGATGACAAAAACTTACAATGGTGCTGAAGGGGTTTAAAATATGCAAATTACCTAATTAAGATGCACAGACAAATTATGGAACTACTTTGTGGAAGGTGAAAAAGTTGAGAAATGTGGTGAAAAGGTTGATTCACAGTAAACAGATCTCACCTTTACTGATGTGGCTACTCCATTCTGACATGGAATCAGAGAGTGCAGTTGATCTTGAAACCGAGTAATACCCGACATCAAAACTACTGGGCGACTGAGACGTTGTTTTTTCACTGTGAGTTGCCATAGGAACAGCAGAAATGTGCGATGATTTACTTAATATTGACGGATGATACGGCTCACCTTTGAGAATTTTTGCCATCTGAAAGATTTTCCACACATGGAAATTATTAACAGTAAAGTTAAGGTGTCTGCAAAAAACAGTGATCAACTAGGGGGTTTTGAAATAATAATTGTTAGCTTAGGGGGTTAGCATACCTGATCATCCATGGCTAAATCAAGTGACGTTTCTCCATAAGAATCATCATCTGACGTATCTATTTCTTTCTCTTGTTCTTCATCTTCCGATTCCTCTAATGGTTCGTAATTCTCCATCCATGGGTCAGATCCCGCAGCCACCAACAAAGCGGCTACATTGTACATCTGACGGCCGCTAGCGATGTGTAATACTGTATCACCAGCGAAGTTCTGAGCATGTAGATCAGACTGTGCTTCTAGTATAAGATATCCAATAATTCCTAAATGTTCATGTTCTACAGCATGGTGCAAGGCTGTGTGTCCACTTTTACCATCCTAAATACAGAATAGAACATAGTGAAACTATTAAAAACTTGCCAACAAAATAAATTATAGTTAAACTATTAAAACCTTGCCAACTATCCTAAATACTGAATAAAACAGTTAAATTATTAAAACCTTGCCAACTACCCTAAATACTGAATAGAACATAGATAAACTATTAAAACTTTGCCAACTAACCTAAATACTGAATAGAACATAGTTAAACTACTAAAACCTTGCCAACTACCCTAAATACTGAATAGAACATAGATAAACTATTAAAACCTTGCCAACTAACCTAAATACTGAATAGAACATAGTTAAACTACTAAAACCTTGCCAACTATCCTAAATACTGAATAGAACATAGTTAAACTACTAAAACCTTGCCAACTATCCTAAATACTGAATAGAACATAGTTAAACTACTAAAACCTTGCCAACTATTCTAAATACTGAATAGAACATAGTTAAACTACTAAAACATTGCCAACTATCCTAAATACTGAATAGAACATAGTTAAACTATACCTAAATACTGAATAAAACATAGTTAAACTATTAAAACCTTGCCAACTAACCTAAATACTGAATAGAACATAGTTAAACTATTAAAACCTTGCCAACTACCCTAAATACTGAGTAAAACATAGTTAAACTACTAAAACCTTACCAACTATCCTAAATACTGAATAGAACATAGTTAAACTATTAAAACTTTGCCAACTATCCTAAATACTGAATAAATCATAGTTAAACTATTAAAACCTTGCCAACTATCCTAAATACAAAATAAAACATAGTTAAACTATTAAACTATTTATACCAAGTGACAACATATGTAAGCTTGAAATGATTTCCTCAATATATTGCATCATTGACATTTGACTTTTTGCCTTATGTTAGATGGCATATCATTGACATTTGACCTTTTGCCTTATGTTAGATGGCATATCATTGACATTTGACCTTTTGCCTTATGTTAGATGGCATATCATTGACATTTGACCTTTTGCCTTATGTTAGATGGCATATCATTGACATTTGACTTTTTGCCTTATGTTAGATGGCATATCATTGACATTTGACCTTTTGCCTTATGTTAGATGGCATATCATTGACATTTGACCTTTTGCCTTATGTTAGATGGCATATCATTGACATTTGACTTTTTGCCTTATGTTAGATGGCATATCATTGACATTTGACCTTTTGCCTTATGTTAGATGGCATATCATTGACATTTGACCTTTTGCCTTATGTTAGATGGCATATCATTGACATTTGACCTTTTGCCTTATGTTAGATGGCATATCATAGATGCAAAACTAACCGGTTCATTGACATTGGCTCCAACAGAAACTAAGGATCGTAAACAGTTCAGACTACCAGCTTTAACAGCAAGATGAACACAGGTAAAACCTAAAAACAAACATTATACATATTAATTAAATGATTTGCATACAGTAACAGTAGGAAAAAGCATTGTATGATGCAACAACTGTGCTGAATACACAAAGAAACATATTGTGAACCACACACTTTACTTAACTAGGATTAAATCATTCAGCATCAAAGTCAACTTTTGTCACCTTTCAATAAATTAACCTTTTTTTTCATCAATTTCTGTGTCCAATGAGAAATTAAGTCTTTTAAGTCATAGAAATTTTAAAAAATACATAAAAATTAGCAAAATGTTATAAAAAATGTTGCTGCATATTTTATGGCATTGAATTTGGCAATTTCAATATTTTGAAACATTTCCAACATAGTGAAAACATAGTGCAAATGTAAAATATTTTGTAAAAAAAAAAAATAAATCATCACAAACCTTCATAGTTCTTCCAGTCTAATTCGGGATATCTTTTACCTTCTTTTAGTTCTCTCTGTTGCCTTAGTAACACCTTCAAACAGTTTACACTACCCAACTCGGCAGCAAGATGAGCTGCAGTGTTGCCATGACGATCAAGTTTCGACACATCAGCTCCGCATCTTAGTAACAATTCAACAGCTTCAGGTTGGCCGGTGATGACAGCCAGATGAAGGGGAGTCTGAAAATAAAATGGAGATTTCGAAATACTCATTCAACCCTTTGAGTGCCAGATATTTTTTCAGCTCAAAATTCAGTGCAAATATTTTCACATTTTGTAAAATTGTCACTAAATTTCATCATCGTTTTGAGTTATACAGACAGTTGCAGATATTGCTTTAAGTTTTTGATCAAAAAGGTTTGTCAATTTTTACCAACATTCCATATTGGAAGGAGCAGACTGCACAATATTATAAAGCACACTGCACGTTATACACAGTTCATTCAAGCGCAATAAACATAAACATTGCTCAGTCATAACTAGTATTTTATAAAAACGCACCATTTTTGACAAATGTTTCATTTTTACTAGATTTTACCAGTTCTCTAATAACTGATTACTATCCAAATATAAACATTAATTGTTGTGTGAGCCCTCCAATGCATATTTCTGAAAATTTTTTTTTAAATATATTTTAACATAAATAAAATTATTGTGCAAGAAAATAAATATTAATATTGAGCATATATACAGATTCAGAGATTCAATATTATACAAAACTGCATCTTGACTGAAAGTGCCAACCTTTGAACTCTGAACCTGAGAGCTGAATTAGACAGAAATTTGTTTAAAAGACAAATAAAACAGAATATTGAATGATAAAGTAAGAATAAAATAATGTTTTGACAATTTTACCGCTGTGAATATGTGTCTCCTTTAATAAAACAATGTATGAGCAAAGTTGTCACAATATATAGCAAGCTAGTGCTGATGCACGTACTCCGTTTTTATCCGACATGCCAATTGCTAGTTGACAAATCATTTTGTGATGTGATTAATAATTCAAGAAGTCATCGAATGATTCAGACGAACAAAAGCGCTGACAATAAAGTAACAGTTGTAGTGATAACACGTTATTATATTTGCAAGAAATACGTAGAAAATGATCATCACCACATCAAAATAGATAAATTACGTTAAAAATGTTGTTCTTGTCTGCTTTCTAATTTTAACATATTTCAGGCACTGTTTAATGTTCTATGATTACATTTCTATAATTTGCAAATCAACGCATTTGTAACAGATGCTGCAGTGTTAAGTAATCTCACCTGTCGAAGGTTGTTGTAGCGGTTGACAATTTGTTGTTGCGGTATACTGATAATGACACTCAGCAAACTGTGGACAACTTCGACATGACCGTGAATCACAGCCAAATGTAATGCCCTGAAATCAATATATAATCAATACTGTAAAATGACTAATTTTCACTGGGTTTAAATTTTGCTGATTACCATTTCAGGCATATTCAGTGGGTTTTAAATTCACGGTTTAATCATATAGATAATGTGTTCTATGCTAAATTTTACATATTCATTGGGTTTTAATTAATTTTGCGCATTTTCCAATCAGCGAAATAAGCAAAATTAAAACCCAGTGAATAATTAATCCTTTTACAGTATTTGAGATAAAGTTTAAAATATAAACAAATCAATTCAAAACTTTAATTTAAGTAGGTGTACCACATTTACAGATTCTGTATTTCACACTTACGAATCACCGTTTTCATCCTGTACGGCAGTAAGATGTCTTTGTACAGCTAACAGTATTTTGACATCGCCTGTGACACAGAAATCTCTTAATGCAGCTGATGTCCGTTCTGCTAGCTCCATTGTAGCTGTATTGATCTGTACGGAAGGCAGAGGCAGCGGATCCGTCTGAACTGCACCTACTGCAACTGAAACTGCAATATAGAAATTGTTAATAAATTCAATACTCTGTTGTGTAATGTTATGACTCAGGGGTTTTCCCAAAGATTTGGAACACTTAATGTTTTTATTTTTATAGAACATAAAGTTTGAATTTAACAATCTTGTACAAATGAACATAATTAACCCTTTGCGCCCCAATGCGGCCATATATGGCCGCTTATTTCTGACCAAAGATAACCGAATTCGGCCGTAAA